CCATCGAAGCTCAGCGTTAAACTCAAACCCGGCGTGATTAAACAAAAAATTCTATTTTTATTTGGCTCCAATCAGCGGGTGGCGCCGCGCTGTCACGCCAGACGGGCGCCGCAGGGCCACGATCAGGCCCGCCCCACGGGCCTCTATGAGCGTGAAACTCGGCGAACTCCACTTGATTCGCTTGGAAAAAACAAAAGGAAAAATAAAAACAACACAACAACAAAATAAACAATAAACACGAGAACGGAAATGGAAAAGAGACGACGGAGACCCGCGAATACTGCTCAGCATCACCACCTGCATTATCCGCGGGGTACAGGCAATCTCTTATGGTCGCGGGGGTCGGGGCATCCCTTACTTTCATTTCCTTCTGGCCACCTCCTCGGCCCCGCTGGGACCCGGAGACCTTCGCCGCCCTCCCCTCCGCCGGCTCTCGCCTGCTCCCTCGTCGTCTCCAGGGTGTGAGTGGCGAATGCCGACACCCCCCACCACCACCTCTTTCTTCCAGCCCCACCACCCCCGAGACTCGCCTCGCTGCTTACACCCCTCTCGTCGCCGTCGCGGCTCCTCCGGTCCCTCAACTCCCTCCTCGCCCCGCCCCGCCAACCACGCTCACAGCCTAGTTCTTACACTCGTCTGCTTATTCAGACCCGGATCCGCCCGGATTGCGGACGGCCGCAGCCAACTCAGCCTCGGAGCACGACGTTTTACTAGCTGAGCCTACTTTAGCCCCCGTGCTGCTGCCGCCGCTAGCTGCGCCGCCCGCGGGGCATACACTCGCTGCACTGCACGGTTCCACCCAGCAGCAGGGGGCGGGGCCGGGGCGTGGGCTGCACCCCCAACCACAAGTGACTGCCAAGTGGGCTGCCTACTATCGGCTCATTTGGCAAGCCTACGCCTCGTCGCGGTGGCGTGGCGTGGCGTCGCGGTGGCGTGGCGTGGCGTGGCGTGGCGAGGCGTGGCGTGGCGTGGCGCGCAATCGGGTGGGAGGAGGAGGCTGGTGCGGGAGAGTGGCGGGGAGGCTGTGGTGGAAATTGCTTCATCGTCCCTACCCCAAAACATTTCACCCCCCCCCTCCCTCGGCGGCCCGGCGGCGTGTCCAAGAGGCGCCCTTTTCACCAGGCGGCCGCTTAGAGTTGTAAATCGTTGGCAGTTCGGCCGGGCCCGCCCGAGGCCGGCCAAGGCCGCGAGCAAGCGCGGAGGCCCCCCTCTGCCTGGCCGCGAGTCGGCCGCGAAGCGGGGAGGCAGGAGGCCCTCCCTTACAGCAGTGTGCCTCTGCTTGGTTTGGCGATGGGCAAAGGTTAGCTCGGCGGCGCGAAGCTGCGACGCACAAATCTATCCTAACTGGGCCAAGAGAAGGCTGCAAAAGGAAGGGGCAGGGGGTGGGGAGAGGCGAGGGAGTCAAGCCAAGTGGCGAGGAAGTGGGGGAAGGGAGGGTGCTCCCGAGGCTGGGGGGGATGGGGAGGCCGAGTGGCGCTGAGGGGGAGAGGTGGGGTGGTAACGCGGTAAAAGGGGGTTCGCTCTGACAGCCCCAGCCCCGCAGCCGACCAAGTTTCGCGAACACAAGCGACTCCTTCGCAACAGCTCCACAAACACCCAGCCCAGCCCTTGGCCACCGTCGCCCGACCCTTTGGGCGCCCCGATCACCGCACCACCCACCTCACCACCCGAGGGGTGAGCGCTGGACGGCCGACCCACGACGGCGTTGGAAGAAGAGGAGAGGATGCAGCGTTCGGGGCGAGGGGCACGCGTGAGAGCTCCACCGTGTTTTACTTCGTCCCCCCCCCCCTCCCAGCCACTCTCCAATCCCCCCGCTGACGGCCGCGCCGCCGCCACGCCATCCAAAGATAAATGATGAATCGGGTCGTCAATCGGGATCGGAACGCGAGCGCGCGCGCCCACGCCTGCACGGAGCTTGAAGATGAGGGGGGCTGGG